TAATTCTTTCGTGAGCCTATCCATCTCTGCACCTTCCAATATTTTTTTTATTACATTTTCTTCTGTTAGTGTGTAATTATTTTTCCAGTTTTGTACAAATATAATTCTCACTGCCATGATTATATGTAGAATTAAGTATCTAATATTTTTTTCATAACTTCCTTTTATAATTCCTAACAGAAATAACTGATTTTAGTTCAATTTGGTGTGTGGTAATCTCCTCCAGCCAATCTTTTATTTTTTTCCAATATTTTTTTGCAGATGTGCATGTCCACCACAATATGGTAGTATGTTCCGTGTTGTTGGTTGCATTTCCAACAGATAGGTGATCACTCCAGGAACATTTTCGCAATTCTCACTGGTGGGAGATGCCATCTGTAGAACATCTTGTACATGTTCTGTCTACATGCTGTGGCCATCGTTAATTTGTAATTTATTTCCCAAAATGTTTCCCAATTCGCCAATTCTATAGTATACCCAAAATTTGTCACCCATGTTATCATCGTTTCTTTCACAGTTTCTTCTTCCATTTTAAATTTAATAAATAACGATATATATAATTTTTAATCAATTTTTCTTTGGTTCCCTGTAGAATTTTATCCAGTTCTTATGGCTCCTTATAAAATCCATCCCTTTCTCTGTCCTTTTTACACCTTGCCTGTATTTGTAAATAGGGCCACCAGCCTATGACTATTCCCTCGTCTTTCAATTCTTGTCTTGTTTTTAGTCTTTCTTGGTTGTCTAATATGTCTTCATAATGGCATTTCTTGCAGATCTCCCAATGCCCCACTCTGTTGTCATGCTCTTGTTTGTAGTCAGTCTGTGTGATCTTCTTGTAATAGCTAACTAAGTAGACCACCAATTCTTCCAATTCTTTATAGAAGCAGCATTTGCTGCCTGTTGCTGTGTTCTCAGTTCTGGTTTTGTATGTATTTGTTGATAAGGTTTAGCCTCTGTCTCTTCCTTCAGTTTTCCTGCTCTTTCCTGCCCATTGCCAGTTCTTGCTTTTGCCTGCTTTTTTATGCCCTGGCCATGTAATACTTTACCTTGCTGTGTCTCTTTCCTTCTCATTTTCTCTTTCTTTTGGGCCAGGTTGGTCTCTCCAGTACTCACTATAAGCCTTCATGGCATAGTAGCTTCACTGCATCTTCTTCACTGCCCTTCAAAGATGTCTTCCTCCTCCTCCTCCTCCTCCTCCTCCCCCTCTTCTTCTTCTTCTTCTTCTTCTTCTTCTTCTTCTTCT